ATGGTTGGAGAAGTCACATGTTGGGGGGAGGGGCGGGGTTCCAAGGCCCGGTACCCTCATCCTATCTGTCTGACGTCATGTCTGTCCTCAGGAGAACGGCTCGGGTCAGGAGATTCTGGACTCCCTGCGGTACGTGCGGCCCGGTGGCGGTTTTGTTCCGGCGTTCCCGATCTTGGAGAAGTGCGAGGTGAACGGGGAGAAGGAGTTGCCGCTTTTCACCTTCCTGAAGGCGTCCCTCCCCTCCCCCAGCGATGACGCCGTCTCCCTGATGACCGACCCCAAAAGCATCATCTGGTCTCCGGTGCGGCGCAGCGACGTTTCCTGGAACTTCGAGAAGTTCCTGATTGGCCCGGACGGCGTTCCCTACAAACGCTACAGCCGCCGCTTCGAAACCATCAACATCCGCCCGGACATCGAGGATCTGCTGAGGGGGGCGGAGACATGAGCGTCATGTGACCCGCCGGGCGCAGGCGTCACCTGCAGACGTTTACTTATGAAGCTCCGCCTTGAAACCTGTAAAGGGGCGGAGCTGATGTTCCTGTACATTGTCTGTAGGAGGCTCTGTGATTGGCGGGGTCGCTTTTTATCCAATAAATGAGTTTTCAGTCATGTGATCTGTTTCCTTGTCATTTAATATGGGGTTGGTGGGTCCGCCCCCCTGCATGGCTCCTCCCTCATCTCCCAGTGGAGGCGGGAACATGAAATGTGGGACTTTACAGGGTAATAAAATGGAGTGGTGACTCCGCCCCCTGCGCTGTGTCACCGAGACACCATTTCTGATGTTGCCTTCATGACATGTGACTGAGTGTTCCTGCTACTAGGTGCCTGGCTCTCATACTAATCCTCTGGCTTCAGTAAATTCAGGGGTATGTAGATCAGGAGCTCCGCCCCTTTCCTGACTGGCAGACAGAGGATCAGCATGACTGGTATCTCAAAACACAAGGAATAAGGGGCTGCTGTGCTACATGCTAGTTTCCGGGCTGTCATGTTCATCCCCAGCTTCAATGCTGTCAGTCTCTGACCTGGAATAACTTCCCCCATCTGTAGAATTGTCAGAGACCCGGAAAGTATTGGAAGCCAGAGGATCAGCATGACAGAGTTCTCAGGCTGGGCTCAGGGGTGGGGCAGGTCATATAGGGTGTGTGATAAGATCCCTCCGCCCACACTGGGCGGAGTCAGCAGCGGAATGGTGGAGTGATGATTGGTTGCCATGGAGACCGGCTCCGTGCGCTCGCTGGTCCCAACAAGGAATATCGCTCACATAGGGGGGGTGCTGTGCAGGAGGGTGAACCCGAATGTGTCACAAGCCCCGCCCAGAGGAGGCGGGGTCACCATGAGTCCTAATGACTCAGAGGAGTGCATGCTGGGAGTTGTAGTTCTCCGTCTGGTTTGGGGAAGTCTCAGTACTTTGAATGTAATAATTGGGAAAAAAAGTGTCTGGATATCTTCATCCTCCGCGGTGTTTCCTGCGCTCTGCGTCGTCCCCGGGTTGGGCGGGTCCCAGATTGGGGATTCTTTGTCGTCCAATAGGAGGCCGAGGAAGCTGCCGGGACCGAAGAGCAGGTCTCTGTTCATGTCGGGGGATCGGGCGAGCTGCTGGATGAGCCGCGCACTGGTGTGATCTGAGAGAGGTGCACAGGTCGTCACTCACCACACACAGCAGCGGAGACCCCGCCCCCTTCTCCCCCCCCCGACCAACCAGAAGATCCAGCATAGTAAAATCTTCTATATC